TGAGCCCGCCGTGCTCTGCGCTGTGCTGCACCAGGGCTCGGGGCGGGGAGGCTGAAAACACAAAAACACAGTCACAGGGTGCGTCAGGCTGGAAGGGACCCCAGTGCGGCATCTGGTCCAGACTCCCTGCTCAGGCAGGGCCGTGCCACAGCACATGGCGCAGCATTGCGTCCAGAGCCTTCTTGAATAGCTCCAGTGAGGGAAGCTCCACAAGCACTCTGGGCAATCTGTTCCATTGCACGGTCACTGCACAGTAAAGAAATCCTTCCTCATGTTCAGCTGGAACTTCCTGTGCATCGCTTTCTGCCCTTGCGTCGTGTCCTTGCAGCTGGAACCAGCGGGAAGAGCTCTGAATACACATCAGAGCTCATTCACGCTCTGAATGCAAACCTCATGTGCCTCCACCTCGTCTGTGGGAGAGTGTAGGAAATGCAGAGCATACGTTTGTCCTGTGTGGGCATGCAGAAGGGCACCGGACCATCTTTGCTATAGCAGTGTAATACACTTTTATAGTACCATAAAGGAACAGATTTAGGGATTTGCCCTGTTCCTGGACCAAAGTGGTATTTGGTGATCAGAGGCAGTCTCACAGGGTGGCACCACCCAGTTTGTGTCATCTCCTGAGGGTGAATGTTACCTAGCGTTTCTGAAACGTGCAGCTCACTGTTAATACGAGCAGCCTGGTGCCCTGCAAGGGGAGCCATGCAGTTATAAACCTTTCTAAGGATGTAATTTCACGGTTAATGCAAGACAGCCTGTGTCTGTATTGCCACCGAAAGGGGCAGTCCTGCATTCCTCTCTGATCAAGGATATGCCCTCCTGTTTGTTATTTACACCGCAGTAACACTGATTATGCCATCTGGCAAGGCAAGCCTGGGATCTGATCTGGTGGAGAGCCAGGTTTGCTCCTCCAAAAAATTAACCGAGTTCAGCTGGAACTGAAAGTTCCCGAATTAGCTGAGTCTGTGGAGCTGCTGCAGGCACAAGGAAGGCAGAGGAGATGTGGAGGCAGGAGCAGCCTCTTGGATCTGCAGCCCAGCGGAGCTGAGCTGTGTTTCTGTGTGCAGCTGCACCACTGCAGTGAGCCCTTACTGCTGAAACTGCCTTGTGACAGCTCTGAGAGTGTCCCAGTGATGATGATCTTGTGATCACACCCGATAGTTGTACACAATTTCTCCGGAAGATTTCTGTTGTTGTTACTTTAAGGCAGCAGCATGAGGTTGTATCTCACAATAAGGTTCTCAGAAATGCTAACTGACACAAGTGAGAGAGCAGGGATTGAAACTAAAAGCTCAGTATGCCTCTTAAACAATACAGCATGCATGAATGTGTCACTCGTATATCTACAGATCTTGCTTCCCTCAAAATCATGTGGAGATTCTTATGTCTTTGTGAGGATTTTGGAACCAGGGCCAAAATCGTGATGAATTCATAACAGCTGCAACTCTGACTCCCCCCTTTTCCAGATTTCTCCAAACTTGCCTGCCCATGACATCAATTCCTGCTGTTTTTTCACATACACAAAAGCATAGATGCTGTGCAGACCTTACAGAGTTCAGCCTTTCTAGGGGAGAGCAGATGATAAGCAGCCTTGTCCCAGCACTTCCATAACATCCCTTCCCACAAGACCATGTACCTCTTACCACATTAGGCAACATGTGAAGTGCTTTGTCTGAGGATTGTGTCCCCCAGCTAGGAAATTGTGACTCAGAGAAGGCTGGTAATTTGGGTGTAATCTCTATTTGTCTGGTTGGGTTTTTTTTTTTTTTCCCCATTCCTTCTTCTAGTAACCATTGAGTCGAGCGGGGCTACTTCTTAGTGGCAGAGCTGACCTCCCTTCTGAAAAGCACTTTTTCAACACCAGAACAATACCAGTGTCAGCCACTCTGTTTGACCACTCTGAGAGAAAGTTTGGTGAGCATGGGTCTCCACAGTTTGCCAAGGTAGGCTGTGGCCGTGTCAGCAGGAAGAGCTGTGTCTTCAGGTTCCTGGCCACACACACTAGGTGTATAGGGTAATTCATGTTGGAGGAGACCTCAGAAGGTCATCTAGTCCAGCCAGACAGGCAGAAGTTAATAAACCTGTTAGTAAACCATAAAAATTATAACTCTTAAGTGTGAAATTTCTTCGTCTTTCCTATTGCTGGGTCAAATTTGAGCAAATCTGGCTGGACTTCTGCAAAAGATACGGCTTCCCTGACCTCCTTACTGAAGGTTCCTGCCTTCTCAGCAGTCCCTAGATTGAAAAACAGTAATGTTTTTAAGCCATTTTAATGCAAAATATGATGTTAAAGTAATTTTATGAGCAGTTTAGGCTAATTTGCAGGACCTTGTGTTGAAGTAGCTGGGACTAGTGTGTGTGTCTCATTCCACCAGCTCTGCTGTGAGGCAGTAATATCAGGCAAAGAGGAGGTAGGAAATTGCTGAGAGGAGAGATGACACCTTAAGCCACTGAAGCTTGTTCTACTTTGAGCATATTCTCATGGCTTACAACTTCTTTATTTTTTGATAGGGGCTATAAACCTAGCAGTTCTGGATAAGAGGCTATAAACCTAGCAGCTCTGGATAAGACATGATGATGGTGGGTTGTCAGCGAGTGTGGTTAGGCAGGATCCAGCTGTGTTGGTGGAGGAGAGCATTACTCACAGCCAGACCCCAGAGACTTATCATGGCCCTTTCCAGCAATCTGCAAATCTGCCAGTAGAGCTGATTGTGTGCCCGCTCACTCTGATTTATTCTAGTCAGTTCAATCAGAAGCTGATAGAAATTAATGTAACTCTTTTGCCATGAACATTAGATTTGGTTCAGAAGTGTCTCTTCAGCTAGAGTAATTGCAGACAGTGTCAGAGAAGTTTAAAGCTGTGCAGTCTTGGGGTCTCTGACAGATTAACAAAACTGGTTTCTGAATTGATTTGGTTATCATTACATAAATTTCACTGACTAGAGGGCTGGCACAGGTTTTTAGCACAAAGTAGCAGAGAGCTTCATTTGTAACCTCCTCCCACCCACAAAGTTCTGCAAGGAGAAGGTTGAAATACTGTGAGAAGTCTATGAATTATGAACTGCCCTCTACTTCTGTCTTCCCTTCCCGTTGCAATTATACTTAACTAGACCACAGGAATTATTGTGCCTTCATAATAAGCTTTAATGCTCAGATGCAAACATAACTCTTTACCAAAGGTCTTACAGGCTATATGGATAAATGCTGTAATAATGAAAAGGGAAAAACAATAGGGAAGCAGTAGGGAGAAGAAGATGCATGTTACATATTCATGGACATTAC